GGGGGGGGGGGGACAGGAAACCACAGCGCCTTCTGCTCCAGAGGTGAAAGTGGTTAAATTATCAGCCGAAATTCACACAAATTTCGCCGGATCGGCACCGATTTCAATCCAATTTCATCAATACAACATCTTAGGTCTGTCATTCATATTGTACTCGTGTTCTTCCTAGGACAACCAGATACTGTATCAGGTAAATTCAGAGAGCTTATTCAAGGGTACAACAGCAAGATACGCACATCCCTAACAAGTTGCCCAAGTCACACGATACAAAACAGAAACAAAACACACATTTTCATCACTATTTCACTAAACCTGTCATAATAAACCGTCCATTCTAACATTATATTTCATTATATATGGAAGTATATAAAGCAGTTACACCTGACGATTCAGGGAGGGGTCCAGGGGTTTGTGGATCAACACAAAGCCTGCAATGACACACGGAAATGACAAACATACGTGATTCACAGGGAAACACTCCAGACTATGTTCGCCCCTGCCTTTCTGGAAAGACGATAAGAAACGTAATAAATGTACGTGACTATCGGCCGACGTAGCCCGCGCCAGAGCGTGAGCCTCGGGGCCCATGTTCTCGACTTCCGCTACCCGTCACCTCACTGAGAATATCGAGAGCTGAGCGCATTCCTTTTCCTGTTCGCGCGCGGGACATTCACAAGCCCACATCCTCCCCATGCCGTAAACCGCACGGCGAGCATCAGGCACACCTGCCGCACAGAACCCTCCTGTGGAAATTCAGAGGTACGCCAGTTTCCATGGCAACACCACCCAGAACACTCAGACCCACGTTTGTTCCAATCAGACCCTCCGTTTGACTATTTATTACGCCGTTGGGTGTGAGGTGACCCTCCCCCCCCCCCCCCCGATCTGCACTTCCCCCCGATCAGGAAGGTCTCACCATCAAGGTCTCATCTGTTGGTCCTACACCCACAGGACCACAAAAGCATCCAGACAGCGTGTAACTACCAGAACAGCAGCAGCACCCCCCCAGGCCAAAGTGGCGGGTTCCACGCCGTCTCCTCCATTTGGAACGTCAATGAACGAAATCCCTCATGTCTAAGTGCTGTCCAGCCCTTAAAATCAATGTTTAATCTGCTTCAGAGAATGACTGGCTGTGTACACAGCGCCAAGTGTCATCCTGTTACACTGCACTAATTAAATTTGCAGAACATTTATTTTTCAGATAATTTTATCCAAAACAACCTATTTTTTTTTGAGAAAGCTGGGTGAGTCACTCCCTATGGCTGGAGGGGGTTAAGGGCCTTGTTCAAAGGCCCAACGCAGCGAAATGGCTGTGCCAATCCAGGGATTTGATCCTGTGACCTTCCGATCACCAGCACGCATCCCAGCCCTGTCACAGTTTGTCCTAAGTTGCGCTCTCTTAGACAGCCAGCCAAGTTTGAATCGGGCCCCTATCTTTCCTCTTTGGAGTGACAACTTCCAGATGCTGTACAACTCAAAGGACCCAGTGACCTTAAATGACCCTTAGTTAGTGTGTGCTTGTGCGCGCGCGCGCGTGTGTGTGTGTGTGTGTGTGTGTGTATGTGTGTCCACCTAAAATGCACTGCAATTCGATTCAAGCCTTATCCTTCCTGGGAAAATCTTTAATTGGCTCAGAGAATCTTAATTTATGGATAAGCTGAACTGAAAGAAGAGTTCCACCAATTAACTATTCAGAAATGCCCACTGAGAAGGAAGGGAGCTTCCTTATTGGTGGGACTCTGCTACACATAATCTCCTCCATGCATCCTTACCTGTCCGCATGGATTCCATGTGAGGCATCGTCTGAAATCCCAAGGGCTCCATGGCCACCCAGGCCATCGGGTCCAGATCTAAATACTGTCAAAGGGTAAAAGACATAAGATGAAAACATTCTGCTACAGAATCAGCATTGACATTACGTTACATTTACGCTACGTAAAGTTGGGTCAGCAATTAGCATTAAGGGTCTCGTTCAAGAACCCATCAGTGAAATCACTCCCCCATACCACCTACAGGGTTTGAACCAGCCACCTTCCGATCATGGGCACAGTATCTTAACCAAGTCGTTCACAACCTCCAGTTCATGGACTGGTACCGGTCTGTGGTCAGTACCCCTCTGGCCTATGTAGGAATGGGGATTTTGTAGAGGGGGTTGGTTAATTTCCAAAAATAAACTATAGTTTTTCCATTTTTTATGACCCCTCATGTTTGTGTTCTGTTCTCATGGAAAAAATCGATGTTGCTTAACTTTTTGAATCGATCCACGCCCACCCCCCTCCGTGAATCTTTTGAATGACGTAGACACGGTCTGTGATCATTAACACACACAGCCTCACAACACCTTAAGCAAGAGATATGGGTGTCTTAAGAGATGGGCTGTGCTCCAGTGTTTACCAAAATGATTATAATAATGTACAAACACAATAATTACGACAACAACGACAATAATAATAATAATAATAATAATAATAATAATAATAATAATAATAATAATAATAACCAGATAGAAGAATTCCCCCTGTGCTATTCCTTTACATACAGAGAAAGATGCCAGCTAAGTTTGCATGATACCTCTGTCTGTGAAGGTGCAATCATGTCACATTCAGAAATTCATATTTATGGTATACCTTGCTGCGTCAGTAAAATCACTGTCTCAGTTCAGCTGAATGAAATGACAGCTAGCTGACGGCAGTGTTTAAGCAGCAACGCGCAGCCTTTTTGTGATGAAGAGCATGTCAGTAAGAACCCCATGAGTAAAGCCGTAAGGACAGGAGCGGCCACGCGAGCTTCAGGGACGCCGCTCCGTATCGGCTATTAGGCCTTTGAGGATTTTGCGGTCACCGTGCACTTCAAGGAAAGTTCCTCGTGTCTGCAGGCATCGCCGGCACAGAAAGTCTGAAGACGCCTTCAGCAAAGCGGCTCGAAGCGGAACAGTGGATTTAACTTCCGATTGAACGCAAGCCAAAAGCTCCCCACACACATATACAGAAATCATCAAGGCAGCCGTCACTGTGTTAGGGGTCATATAGTGTCCCCGTGGTCGCTTCATGCTGTGTGGGACGGGACCCCCCTGGTACATACCAAAGCGGGATCATGGGACTCCGTTTCCATGGTGCCTGCAAAAAATATTAATAAAAAATATTATTGTATAAAAATAAATGGGGAAAAAAACTTTATCTTCTCTCTACCTACAGTTTGATTTTTCTTCTACTAAGGTAGCTCATTGCACATTCATTTTTTCTGACAGGCTGTCGAGATCATATTGTGGTCGCCATCCGTTATCGGCCACGCCGCTACGGTCTACAGGACATTTCACTTTTCGAATCGTCTCTACCCTGCATAAACTTTCCGTGTTACTTTATGCAAAGCATTAATATGACCAGTCTTGCCCGTAGGTTAAAACAAATGAAAAAAGAAAAACAAAACAAGGCTGTACAAGCAGAGGAGCGGCAGCGTATCCTTCTGTCACTTTCGGGCGCACACCTGGAAGCGATCCGACTTCTCAGATAGGAAGCGGACATCACAACAAATGACCGGTGGGTCAGAATAAGAAACTGATCATAGATCCGGTGTTTCTTGCAGACTGATGGCGGGTGGCCGCACGTTTTCTTACCTCTGGATCAGTCGGTGTTCGCGGCTGCGGAGTCGGCGTGACCGCGCAGGCTAAAGCCGATCGGGCGAAAGCTGCAAAACATTTCCCCACAGCACATCGCAAAGTGTCCTTCGACCGGTTAATGTACAATAACCCATGGTATTAAATACATTACAACCGCCGCGCCGCGGGGTTTAGCAAGAGCAAAAGAGGTGTTCACCTTATTTATAGGTAAGCAGCCGATTAAATAAAAATCAAGCTTCCAGCGGGACAAGTGAAAGTCAGTAAAGACGGAGCCTGCGTCTCCTGGCACGCGAAATTACAGTAGATCGGCTGTTTGTAAAATTATGACTTCCTTGCTGGAAATTCCCAGTGACGTAAGTGTCGTTGCGTTTCTTGCTTTCTGCCCCCTGGTGGCACTGTCGCCGGAGCGCGCGGCACCGGTACAGTGTAGCGGTAGATGTCCAGTGTCCCGAGAGTGCCATTATCCTGCACCGATACGTTTGAAGGTAAAGTGCCTGGATCGACAGCCTGCTTAGTTCAGGTCCAGTTTGCTCATGAACCTGTTATTCCACCTTTTTCCTACCTTCATCAGTTCTTTAGATTGGTCTGGGGGGGACTTTATGATTGATTAATTAAAAGCAGTAATAACATTTGGTTATTTATAACTGAGAGATCTACGGCAAAATTTATTTCTAACTTGACCGGATTTTTTACTTTACGTGTATCTACACATTTTTTTTTCTTTAATGCCACCAATCCATCCATCTTTCAATCGCTTCAGTGTCGCCAGGGTGCCTGGAGTTGGGGAAGCCTACATCCTAGGCAGAATACTAAATTTTATACCGATGAAAGTATGGATTTGTACATTTTTCAAAGTACAATTCGGTTATAAGAAAAATAATGCTTTGCACCGCTAGATGGGTGTCTGGGATTTTTAGTGGATTTACGGATTTACGCCTTAATATTTTTACATTTAAAATGAAATATAAGCAGTGAAATGTCTATTGATGTTTTATCTCAGGAAACAAAAGCTTAGTTTACAGACAGCAGTGGGTTGACGCTACAACAAAACGTGACAGGATTTGAGTAAATACACTGTTGTTCACATATATTAGGCGTCAGGAGATATCAGAAATGTGGGTATGACCAATACTTATAAAGTGTTTTTATCTGTTGAATAGGATAATCGGTAAACCAGTTGGTTGGCTCCCCCCCCCCACACACACACACACACACACACACATGTACACACGTTTGAAAACTCTGACTGCCCCCCTCCCCGGGCGACAACTTTCCAGTGGTCACCCATTTTAGGAAATAATATGTAAAGCAATACGTCAATACGTATCTTGTTTAATATACAGATTTCAGATTTAATGTCATTCGTCGTGGATGCAATTATTTAATAATTAAAGCAGAAGAATCTGAATTACGCCTTCATCTATGACTTAAATGCAATCCATTTGAAGGTAGGCCAGCAAAAGCGAACGAAAAGAATACCTGTTTGGTTGTTCATTTAAGAGCGACTGTAACACGACTATTATACTTATTATATATCCATAATGAGTCCCAGTAGTTTATTGTTAACTATTGTACACAATGGCGTATGAAAGACTATAATTTTGGGCGAACATAACTTGATTGAAATGTAAATGTCTATTTTTTTAGGTGGCGGACGAATCAAGCCAAATGAAATATTGGGGGCACATGTCTCCCTCGTCTCCCCGGTTCCTACCTCTCAGATTATATTTAAATCGCTTTAATCCTGTCATTCAGTAAATTCTCATCTCAGTCAACGCCTGTCATGTGAGAATACTTATTGCCTTATATCACAGTATAATGAAGTGTGTCAGGTGAGATCATTCGTTGAAAACTTCATAGTAGCCTATCCATCCACATAAACATGGGTGGGCACAAAAATATGTTTAAACTTAAGTAAAGTTACAATAAATTCAATAACCTTTAAAATAAGATGGAAACCGCTCATTTCTGGTCTAAACCAGCTTTCCAGTTCGAACAGGCTTTCCTGTGACGGTGAGCCGCTCACTTCTACTTTACCTTTTTCTTAAAGGCCGATAAAAATCTACGGAGACCTCGCTAAGTAAAATCATCGGAGTGGGGGTTCTGAACGGGTTAGGTAACCTTTGAACCACAAGTGGAGGTTTTGGTCCTGCTATGTTTGCTTTTGCTCGGGGACTTAAGTGAAACAAGCGCCGGGATGCACGTGCAATAAGATTACTTCGTGAGTGAAGCGGCGAGTAGATAAATAGGCCGGTGTCAGAAGTATGGACCTGAGATAGGAGGTGGGACCTGCACAGTCTCACGATCAAGCAGCGCACCTGTATCGATCCGGAGTTTTGCTGGCGAGGCGCCGCAAGTTTGTCACCTGGGGCGCCGCTTCCGTGTGTCTGCAACCGACACTCTGATCGCATATGTTCGTTTAATAAATTCATTCTCATAAAGAGATCACATGAAATACGAGGTTGCATAAAGGACAGACAATAGCCTATACATGCAATATGAGCATCTTCATCCACTTCGCATTCGCGTGCTCGATGGTTATAATTGCAGCCCGGCGCGTTTCGACAAGCGACGCTTCCGTGAGGGGGTCTGCAGTGCTGGAGGACATCGTTCGCTACTATGGGGAAAACGGCACGGTTTCCAGCGCCCATCTGGACAACATGCTACGGATCATTGGGGACGGCGGACCGTCTGGCGTTTCGGATGGTGCGTCCGTATATGCAAAGGTACGGTCACCGAAATTTTGACTTTGCATTTGTCATCTCATTCAACAATTAGACCATCGAATGATGATTTGGTAAAACAAGTATATGCGTAAAAGAAATAGACACCGAGATCCATCTGCCTGAAATTTAACCTGACATAAACCAGTTCAAATAATTGGACATTGTATATTTTCCTATAAGTTTCATAAGACAAAAATATCGCTCATTTAGGTTTTGAATTTTATTGTTTTCATGCAAACAATGTCCCCTTATAGTCATTTCAGAGTTAATTCGGGGGAAAAAACAGAAGTGGAAAGAATCTTAGTCAAAATATGAAATGTCCTGCGTGCCACGTTTTCATGACGAATTCGCCTAACATGAAGGGATATTTTGCGATTTACAAAAAAATGGAAGTTATTCATAAAATAGTAGGTGTCTTTGCCAAGTCATCTAGGACACTTCAGGCTTCCGGGGAGTTGACTTCGGACCTACAACGGTGTGCCACATAGTTTATAGAAAAGTCCCACAACATGACGTGGACGAGACTACTTCTAATATCACACTGCAATAGAAACCACGCGGTCGATCAAGAGTATATGCATGTTTACTCTGTCCGAATGAAATGTGCTAAAATGCAGTAATTACGTCATCCCCACACACGCACGCCGGACGTGCGTTATTATATATTTTAAAGCTTTGATATAAATTATGAAGTCAGTATTGTTAATGATTAATCATTAATTTAGTGACACGCAAGCAGAACGCACAGTGAACCTCATGCAACCAGAAGTCCACGGGTAACTGAAACATATTGACACCATTTGATTATGCAAAGTTCTGAACGACAGTCATTCAGTAACATTCTGATGTAATATAATCTCATAATCGATTAGCTTTTTTCTTACTTCCGATACCATGTAATACTTTAATAGCTATGAACAGATTGTTAAGCAGAAAATAATGGAATAATTTTTTTCTAGTGTTAATGTCCCAGTAATCGGCTTCGGGATTGAATACCCACAGCGCGTTTGGCTGGGAATCGTATACTTTGATTAAACTGAGTACTGAACATAAAATCCCCCAGTGCACGACAGCGGCGGAGATGTTGGCAGAGCACGGACTGCCCGTTAACGCGCAGCTGAGTGCCGGCCATCTGGACCACCTATGTCCCGCCATCCTCGGCCAGGCGGTGATGCCCTCCTGCGCCCGCGCCCACGCCCCCGCCGCGAGCCACAGGGCCGCTGATTACCGCGGTGAGTCCTGGAGAACACGTGACTCTTCCCGAGAACAAACCTCGTGAGAAGAGTCACTAATGGTTCCCTTGAAAAATGAACTGTGTCATATGGTGTTTTTTTTGTGTACATACGGTCATGCATCATACATTTCAGAATGAACCCTGATGGAAACTGTATAATGAGTAAATTAAAAATATAATTAATGTTAAGGTATGGAAGGCACCCTCACTACAAAACATATCCAGAGGTTAGATTAAATAAAAATAATCACATTTATTTTAATGAATTTCTTTGGCCTTGGGGGATGTCATGTTGCTGGTTTCATGTGTGGTTCTAGTCACACACCAAGTTCTGCCCTTGGGGGCCCAAACAAGACAGCTGATGCACCACTGAAAGCCACCAATTATGACACCCCTGCTTATGAGCTGAAACACATCCAGCTCCAGAGGTCTGGTGGCTTCTAGCTCAACGCAAGAACAACTGATGGCATGCGTGTCGTCTGATTAGGGCTCTATTACTGCATTATATCTGTTCAGTGGGTTTATTACCCTGAGATTAATCGCTGAATGCACCAAACATGCCTTTTGTACTTGCAGTCCATGCATTAGACTTCGTTCTTAAGGTGATTTCTGTCAGCCCACCTTCTCAAGGGCCCAGGAGTCATAATGGCAGGGTTAATGGGTTTGTGCTATGTGCTAATGTGGGTTTATTGGGGGGGGCAGTGCATAGGGTCCCATGGCTGCTCAGTGTGTAGCACTCCTGTCTGACACGTCCTGGGATGCCATGGTTCTCCCAGGATTCCTCTGGGTATTCCGGTTTCCTCCGAAGTTCAAAGTTGCCCATATTAGTTGCCCTACATTACTATACTATTAGTTGCCCTACATTACCGTTGCTGCCTGCGATAAACAAAGACCATAGAGGGGAGGCCTGAGCCTATGGATAATGAAATAATTTAGCATGAAATGGCCTATTCTAGTTTTCTATATTAAAGATGTTATTTAGAACAGTGATTCTCAACCCAGTCCTCAGGGACCCCAAGACAGTGCACATTTTTGCTCCCTCCCAGCTCCCGGCCAATCAAGAACGCCAAATACCTGGTACAGGCGTGCTGAGAAACACTGCCTTCAAATATGAAACACTTTGATGAAAACTGACATTTGTGCAGGAGTGTTTTTTGACGTAAATGTCAAGTTTCTACTGATTTCTCGCCAAAGACAGCCATAGAATTGCGCTTGAGTGGTATTACAGTAATATGATGTATCGTGGTTTTTTTTTTTTTTTTTGGTGTACTGCGGCACTCTGTAATCCTAAGGTGGGGAGGCGGGGCGGGGCGGGGGCTGGGTGATCCCCCACGATAACGTGCCCTTCAGTAAGTTTTACTGTGGGCGACCTGCAGGTTGGTAAATTTTATCGGCAAGATTTCAAAATACAGGAATTGTGTTGTTTTTCAAAAATACCATTAAAAACCCATTCCTGTGGTATAATGTCTGGACGGTGTGCTCAAGCCTTCATACAAACGACCGTCCTGGATGATGGAGAATGCGGCAGTTCCAGCTCTTGCCCCGAAGACGGCGTCATGCACTTGGGTGCCTCTGATCTTGCAGCCATGAGAGTAATGGAAGTTCCTCTCTCCCCTCTCCATACGCAGTGTGGGGCTACGGAGCCCTTGCAGTCACCATCATCAACCTGTTCTCGCTGCTGGGCCTGGCGCTCATCCCCTTCACCAAGAAGCCCTACTTCCCCAAGGTGCTCACCTACTTCGTGGGCCTGGCCATCGGCACGCTCTTCTCCAACGCCGTGCTGCAGCTCATCCCTGAGGTGAGTGACCCGGGCGGCACCTCACTGTCTGGGCCACCCTGACCTTGACAGATAGCAGCGCTCGGTGCTGGGCTCAGGCGTGCCACGTCGCAGCTGCCGATCGGGATTCATGGCACCAGAACTACAGCAGAAGATGAAGATTAGAAATTATTTATGGAATTTATAGGCAGTTTTAATACAAATATCAATGCTCTTTCCCAGGGTATTATTATGGATATAGGTGTGTGTGTGTGTGTGTGTATATATATATACACACACACAAATTAAGGGACCACAGCAAGATTTTGTTTCACTCATTTAAGGGTATGCGCCTGTGTAAAATATAAATTCTTCCTTGCTTTATGGGTCTTCAGTCCTGCTTCTAGAAGCCTGTTAGGAATCGTCCTAGCAGTGCACTTCACACACCAGTTTCCCATTGTTTTCGACGGTCAGTTGAGGTCATCCCATGATTTATGAGGCACTGGCGGATAAGTTGACGATCATCTCTGGCATTGAAAAGTTGCTTCTTCCCTCTACCTGGCTGGTTTTTGGTTACTGCCAGTGTTTCCTGCTTCACCTTGTTCTTAAGTTCTGCTGTCTTAGAAGCTTTGAGCCTGGAAACAACCTGACTCAGATTGTGAATTAATGCCAGCATTAAAAAAAAAAAATTCTCCAATTAATTTCTACCCTTTACTAAATGCAGGCCTTAGGATTTGACCCAAAGCGGGACAACTACACTCTGAAAGCCGTTGGAATATTTGGGGGATTTTATCTTCTGTTCTTCATGGAAAAGATACTGAAGATGTCTTTAAAAACAGAGCACCAGGTAGGATTTTATGTTCCCACTGCCTTCCTTAAAGTTGATGCGGGGCAGTAGGGCTGAATGTCGGGGCATCCGGCCAAGAATCACATTAAGAGGATGAATGTCCTTCGATAGGGGGTATAATCCGCCAATACCTGTTCTTTCATGTTCAGTTCAACTAGCAGTTACAAAATTTTGCAGTAAATTTGAGAGGATACTGTCCAGCATGCTGCAGAACCCTTTTCCGTAACTTATTGCCCCTAAGAGGTTTTTTGCGCTTTCCGTCCCTCTTTCCGCAGCATGGGCACAGTCACCTGGCCCCCCCAGAATCCTTCCCCGCCAACCCGCACCACAACGGCGACCTGAGCCCCAATGGGGAGGTCATCACCATCACCAGCTTCAGCAGCGACAAGGCCGTCATCAACCCCCATCCTCTCGACGAGCCGGTAGCCATGGAAACGTCAGAGCACGTGAGAGAGAGGGTTCAGAACTGTACCGCTGCTGCGTAACATTAACGCTGTCTAGCTGCTACCTGATGGGGGCGCTGACGAGCTGAGTTCCTAACCCCCTTGGGAGCTCTTGGCCTGCTCATCCTCATCCTGCATGATATCAGGTCAGGCCTTCCTTTACACCAAAGTCTAAGTAACGCATTTAGAGTTGCTACTTCCCAAGAGAATTACAGTATAACCCATTGGTTCATATCCTGATTTGATTGGTTTACAGGGAAATAACTATACCAGTCCAAGGTCTGTACACACCTGATATTAATGCATTTGTCTCTATTTTAGCATGTTATTCACCTTATAGGATGTCAAATGTCAGGTTATCTGTCACAGAACTCCATCTCTTTAGTTGTTCAGAAGATGGGGTGGCAACAGAGAAGTTCATTGTTAGGACCACTTGTGTGCTTAGGCGACAGGAGGGGCAATTACCCCCACCCTTTCTGAAGAATGTAACCATATGCCCTTCTCAGAAAATATAATAATTCACAAAATATATTCATATTTTAATATTCATTCAAAAGACTGGCTACTACAATGACCCCCCCCCCTTCAAACACAGTGGACTTTTGGCTTTGTGTCGCTCATAGAATTTGGCCCTTGAACAAAAATAGTTGAGGGCTCCTGCTCAATTTCGTTACGCCTCTGTGGTCTGTTAAATTAAGCTCAGTTACTGAGCTTTTGATAATACTTCTGTTTTAATGTTAATAAGTAGGATCGTACTTTTGTAAAGTGAGAGAGAAAGTAAAATTTCAAAAAGTTTGCCAATATCCAACCTAGCACTTACTGCATAACCTCAAGATTTGCTTAGGGTCAATATCTTGATGTAAAACTAATGATTTTCAATAGGTGTATCCAGACTTTTGACTGGTGCTGTGCAGAATAGCTGGAGTCCAACTGTAGGTTTTGTTTACGTAGCCATAGAGTGCTTGGAATGTTTGGTTCTTACAGAGCAGCCTGCTCTCACTGGCTGGAGGTAGGTATGGACCAGTTCTATGGCAGAGAGGTGACATTTCCAGTATGCCCAGTAGTACTACGATCCTGATGGGATCACGGGTTTTCGAAGGCATCCTGTTTAGTTCATATTTAGCCAGATGAGATAACGGCTGGACTGCGTATTTGCATAGTCGGGTTGGACACTTTGGACGGCTGGCAGGGCAGACTCTGGAAAGGGCCTGGAGTCGGTCATCCTGAAGCGTGACGCCCAGAAGTATTTACGCTGCTCGATCAGCGAAGGCACAGACCCTATCTAGCTGTATATATTATAAGATGGATAATTTCTACACTATTTGAAATGCAATGACTGATAATTGCAGTACATACACACTGCAGTTCCTATTCCCAGAATACTTGTAGCCTTCTTATTACGCGAATCAAGTTTCCAGCACCGTTGTGAAGTCCCAAACTTTATTGATTTTCTGTTCCAGTGCTGTTTTTGTTCTTCTGCTAGCGGCTGTGTGGTTACTCAGCTGTGGGTGTTGGGGGGGGGGGTCACTGATCTTTGGTCATATGACTATGCAATGAGCTTTTTAGCAAGTGAGAGGTCAGCAGTGGAATTTAACAAGAACTTGTATTATTCTCATTTTAAACCATATTCACCTGATTTTTTAGAAGTACTCTTCTGGGCAAAAAATGCGCCAAACCCAAATTGCACAACATCAAACTGTGCCCCATTTTTTTGAACCAGGAGTGTAGTATATTTTGTTCAATTACTTTTTCATTTAGTGCAAACTTTGAAACTTGCGTTGGTATCGGTACTCACCGATAGTCGATAAGTCACAATTCAGATATGAAAATGATCACATATTTAATAAACATGGGGGTCAGAGTTCCATCTCAGTCAATTCCCAGAAAGACATTCAGACTTTACATTAAGTAAGTACATGGATCAACTGAGAAGACTAATCTAGCTAATGTGTCGCGCATATTTGTCTGCACTAAATAACCAGACTGTGGATCAGATTATGCGTTTACGCTTTCACAAGCATGCCTGTACTGTGTCACAGTACTTCACGGACCACTGGCATTATAACCTAGAATAAAGATACATCCAGACAAAGATGCAGAACTTTAATAGTTATTAGCTTTTCTGTGTATCTGCTAAGATATTGAAACTGGATGCACTTCTTTGGCAATACGGCACAGAAAGTGTGGCTCCTAGGAATGGTACTGCTGTGGGGGCCTGATCCTGGAGTTCTCTCTCTCTCTCTCTCTCTCTCTCTCCCTCCCTCTGTTGTTCAGACCGGTGTGCTTGCGTATTTCGCAGCCGTAGGGTCAGCGTTCCCTGGCGGGGCATCCTGCAGCGTGTGCCCCAGCTGTGTTTGTCATTGTACAGTTATTAAGGGGGTGGGGGTGGGAGATGAGTGTTACAGTATTTAACCAGGGACCAGGGGATGTCAGCTACGTTTGAACAAAGCTGCAGCTCAGTCAATTGTGTCATAGTGACATTTTCTTCTTATAAACATCATAATACCCTTAAGGTGGCAGCTGCAAGACCCCAGTGAGTCAGTCAACTTAAATAACTCTAAAAATCTAGAACTAGAGTCGTTGTGCCTTAATCATTCATACAGCTGCATATTTTAATGAATTCTGGGAAAATACCCTTCTCAAGGGTACAACAACAGAACCCCCAGTGGGACTTGAACTTACAGTCTAGCTTGTTAACCATTTCAGTGCCCGCACAATCCTCCGACCTAAACCCTATAGAGTTGGTTTGGGGTGATTTGGACTGAATAGTAAGAGCAAGGTAGCCAACTTGTGCTCAGAACTTGTGGGCTTCAGAAGGGCTTGAGAGGGCAAATATTTTTGTGCTTGAAACTTGTATTGGAAGATGTTATATTCCGGCACTAAGAAAAAAAACCCAACATCCTGGCTGTTTTACCCCCCAGGAGGAACGCAAGTCGGTCAGGACTTTCTGCACCCGGCAGTGGAGAGACCTTTCCAAAGTGAAGACAGTGGCGTGGATGATCTCGCTGAGCGACGCGCTCCATAACTTCATCGACGGCCTGGCCATCGGGGCCTCTTTCACGGTGTCTGTGCTCACCGGCTTCAGCACCTCCATCGCCATCGTCTGCGAGGAGTTTCCCCATGAGCTGGGTGAGGGAGGGGGACAGGGCGGGGCGAGACAGGAGCTCAGAACCCCATCTTGCACTGTTTGTTCCTGCAGACTCACCAGTGACGTTACCAATGGACTTCTGGGCAGTGTCTGGATTTGGGCCTAATTACATGTATGCTTTTCTGCAAGAAGAAAACTCGGATTGTTCTGGAACATTTTATAGGTCACAGGCTACATCTGTTTTAGTTCACGCATATTCACAAATGGACAGGCTATGTTTGGTTATTATTAGAACCAGGGGTCCTCAACTATTGTTCCCAAGGACAGATATCAAACAAATCAAAGCCAAGGTTCACTACCCCCAGATAAAATATGCTGGGGGGAACAATTAAATTGTACTTTGGTCCAGATAGGGACTGGAGTCCACCAGCTGGGGACCCTAGATTTAAACAGAAAAATCAAGCCCTCTATCTGTGTCAGTATCAGACTCTACAGAGCTATGTCTCCACCTGCAGGCGACTTTGTGATACTGCTGAACGCAGGGATGAGCATCCCTCAAGCAGTCTTCTTCAACCTGCTGTCGGCGATGTCCTGCTACATCGGTCTGGCACTGGGCATCCTGGTGGGCAGCAACTTCTCCCCGAACATCATCTTTGCCTTCGCTGGAGGCATGTTCCTCTACATCGCGCTGGCTGACATGGTGAGTAAGCACTTGTGGAGTTTAGGACTGACATTCACACGTCAGTCCATGTCACTGCGAGGTCAACAGACCCAGTAGCATAATGCTATGACTTATCCTAGGGCACGTCGTTAATATCAGCTGAACTTCTTCACCGGGAACTAACAACAAAAAATATAACAGGAAGCAATCAAACAGATTTATGTAATCAACCAACAACAGATTTTGAACTTTACACCTTCATTGTGGTTCATCTAGCTTACATGAAGTTTCTGGTCAAATTGACGGCGAAATATGAGCCACAATTAGGTTCCCTGAATGGCTGCTATTAACGGAACAAATTTTTTGTGGCAAGTCGCCAAAGCACATAAACTGCAATCAGGCTCAAATCACCGTCGTAAAATGCTGCATTCCGGTTCAGTCCAGATTCCCAGATGATACAAAATGAACGATAAGCTGTTTCCTCCACATGAATGACAGCTTTAATAAAACTATAACTGGCACGTGCCCTTCTGCTTATATGTTGGATGATTAGGCCAACAAAGTCTGAAGCAGGGGTCACCAACACGGTGCCCACGGGCACCAGGAAGCCCCCAAGGACCACATGAGTCGCCGGCGGACCCGTTCTAAAAATAGCACAACTCACCAGAATTTAATTTGATCCTGTTGCTATTCTTCTTTAATCACATTTGCATCTATATAGATTTAAAAATGACAATATCTAAAAAAAAAAAAGCACTTAAAACATGTATTAATCATGAAGTTTAGATAAGTTTAGGAGGGCATTTCAAACTGGTAGCCCTTCGTATGGCTCAGCACCTGTGAAGTAGCTCTCAGTTTCAAAAAGGTCGGTGACCCCTGGTCTAAAGTATTTGTGAACCTAAGCATGTTTTTAACAAGATTGCTTCCACTTTGACAGCCCAGATAAATAAGATTTATCAAAAAAAAAAAAAAAAACAACAAACGGGATGTAAGCATGTCATCTTTGATAAGGTTATCGCTTCCATTCATAAGATATAGCTATGGGCAAAAGTAATGACCGGTAACAGTTTTATTGTAGTGTTACAAGAGTCCCGTACCTAATCAGGACTCAGTAGAGCAATGGGTGCATGTTATTCTCGGAGCTGTTATGATTGTGTTGATGTATCAGTATTTCCAAGCCAGCAAGCAAGAGCAATGCTCTAAAACATCTGACCCTCTGAGCATCAGAACCACCTAGGGCAACCAGTTGCCTTTGCCAGACCCAGTTAACTCCTTTTCCAGTTACATCATAATGAATTCTCTGACTCCCTTACCTGTCTGGGAGCATAAGTCAATGAGGTTTCATCCCTGCCTGCCTGTGGATTTCAACAATGATTTGTTAAAGACGAAATAGATTAAACTGTTGCTTCCAGGGTTTTCGTTGAAATCCTGCCAGTGCTGTGAGGATGTGGAGTTCACATGTTTTCCCCTTGTTGGATTGGTTTGAGGAGTTTCTCCCTACAGTCCAGTATGCACTGGTATGTGTACCCTACAATGAACTGGCATCTTATCTAGTGTTGTAGTACTTGAGACCGGTCTTGGTCTCGTCTCGGAATCGACTTTATTTTGACTCGGTCTTGTCTCAGTCTCAGACATAGAGGACTCAAGGTTCTGAAGTGGGGGCCCCACTGAATGGACATAGTGTTAGTGCCACCCCAGAAGAAACTCTGGGTCACCTGTTTCTCCATTATAGCCAAATTCATACTTCGCTGCACAGCACTTCCCCAACAGTGTTAGTCACAGATAAATAGCAAAGAACTTCCTCCAGTAAGGCTCAATGACATCAGAGGCCCTGTTAGATGTCAGTGGTCTTAATCCTGTTCCAACGCTTGCAATCCCCGGAATATGGATATGGAAACAAGGTGTCCACTATCCTTCCATTTACGACCAACTCCTCTCCTTCAATGTTTCCAGTTCCCAGAGCTAAATGCCATCCTGTCAGAGCAGAGGAGGACCACAAGGACAGAGATCATCTTCTTCCTGATCCAGAACGCCGGCCTGTTGACGGGCTTTTCCGTCATCTTGCTCATCACTTTGTTTGCCAGCGACATCAAGCTGGGCTAGGCCTCCATTTCAGGTGCCCCACACCTCTCCCCTTGCCACGGACCTCACCGGTAGTGTAAGCATGGTTCACCACGGGCAGGAAGAGCACACGCCAAGGCTAGCAGTGCAGCCAAGGGCATCTGAATGACTATAAGAATAGCTTCCTTTAATAAGTTAATTAGATGCTTTCCTGTGTACCCCTTGGTGCTGGCTTCGTCATCATCATCTGCTGCCATTGGCTGGGAATGTCTGATAAATTGGCACCCAGAACCCCTTCCCAAATTGACAGTTTTGATTAAATCAATGAATTGCGTAGTGTAATCACATTTAGTCAATTGTATTGCATAATTCAATACCATTAAATGGCTGGTAACTATCAAGTAATTTTTGCATACACAGATCGCTGCAAGCCTGTTGATTTCTGTGTGAAATCGGTACTCTGTCGTTTATTTCAGGATTTGGGGAATATCCATCCGGATGCTCCTCCAGGAAAGAATGACATGGCCATGAATGGTCATCCCTCTGGACCCTGGGAATGGGGTGTGTCACCCTGAGGAGGCCCTGAAAGCCATCAGGACCATGGCTCAGGGGACACTTTTCATGAAGAGTATTTGCTGTATTAAATGTCATCTGAAAGTTGAAAAAATATATTTGGTCAAAAGAAAATCCCAAAAATAAAAAAGAAACAGCCGTCCTGTAACAGCTGATGTTCCTTCTGCCCCTTTGACTCAAAACATTCAAAACTTTGACTAAAAACAAAACAAACTCGGTTCTTGTTCCTTTGTTTACATAGACACTCACCTGTTCTCCGCCACTTTTTGGCAAAATCGTTTGCCGTTCTGTGTTTCGATTTTTGTCATGAGGCATGTTCACTTTTGTTTTCATTTTCAAACACTTTATTTATCCTAGATTATGTTCGTTGGTCATTGTATTTGTTTTTGCGAACGCAGTCATGCAATGCAAATACCAGTCTGCAGACGACAGGCTAAGTGGAACCACCTAGTGTCATTTGTTCTCCAAACTGCAGGCTGACAAACAATAACCTTCCAGCTCAAGTACACGAGCACAATAAGACAGTACAAACTGTGCTAATAATTTTACCATATATAAATATATATATATATGACCTTTTAACATGTAAGTTTATCTAATTTATATATAGTTATCTCAACATTCATGTTATTGTAAAACATTACAGTCAGTGCAATTTTCTTTACAGTTAAAAAGAAAAAAAAAAAACTCTTGAAAAATATACAGACATTTGGACACTAAATTGAACTCCAAAAAAAATACAGCAATACTGCCTACAACGAAAACAAAGATACAGAAGAGTAGCAAGGAAAGCCACGAGCAAGAGGCACGCGGATTTACGTCGGTCACCAAAGCTGCGACCGCGTCCTGTGAGGTCGGGGTAGGCCCCCACTGACCGCCTTTCTGCAATGGTCACGCTACAGATCTGGAAAAGGACGGGGGCAGGGGATTGGTGCCGAGCGGAGGCATCACTGAGGGAAGGCCGCACCCGGGCTGAGTGGAAGCAAAATGGGATGGGCCTTGTTGGGGCAAAAAGTCGCTTGGTCTCATTAGCCAATCAGCACTTAAAACTACCACCATTTGACCTTTAACCTTGCTCAGTCCGTTGGCACTTCAGGAATCCTTCCTTCACCCTTTTCTTTATATAACTATGAACATACATGCAGGTGTGAATGCATGTATGACTTTATATATAAGAAATTGAGACACTTGGAGATGAAACCAAATTAACTGGACAACTACTATGAGAGAGAAACTATTCAGGTGTGATCATCTTAAGGAGGTAGATGAGTGAGGGCAGCGGATTGGTACATTCATGATCGCTTCGATCACTGACCAGCCAGCACATCATTCTCACGATATTTTCGTTACGTAGAAGCAACGTTTTTGTAATGCTACCGTTTTACGAGGTCGCTCTTCCTAAGTAGGAAGCGTCTCACAAACAGTCGACAACTGAAGATGTACGTACTCACCGCACTTTGGTCTACACATACACATATAGCACGAGTCACATCTAGGAATGTTTCAGCATTGGTCCTCTAACTTCCCGCATTAGGCTCCTAAGGCTGTCTGCTTCTGGAGTCGCACTCGCATTAAACATGGCAAAACAATGAAGAAAAATCAGCTCTCAGACTCAAGGGTTTGGCTGTTTTTTTGGGGAATACCTCTTTTCCCCCCCCCCCCCCCCCCACATTCATCTGTAATACTTTTTTTTCCCCACAAAAGCAGCACATCTCTGCATCTTTTGGCCTGTGCTTCTACCAAACTCTAATTGATAAGATACTGATGAGAACACAATACGCACAGCCATTACACGCATAAGTTAACACCGAATTAAATATTCTGTAAGAACACACAGTACTATTTAAAATACAGTTACCTCCATGGAAAGAGAAGGAAGCCTGTTAATTGATTGATACGGCAAACTCAGGACCACTTCAAATCGAAGCCACTTGAAACACTGTATGTAACGGACAGTGAAACATCACAGTGAAAGGCTGAAGACTAAAAAAGGTACTAATACCATCCTTATGTGCTCATCCGGTGAACTACAGCTCTGAAATCAGACAGGCATTCTTTTTGGTGGGCATGCCTGTCAGCATACAAAAAGCACCAGATGTTTGTCTATAACACACCAAAATACACAAACAGAGTATCTCTGGAAAGGATTTGTCTAGTCTCCATAACAGAGTGATTGCTCGTCGTCATTACACACCACTGGCTTCTACCATCTGACACCGAGGGAAGTGACCTGTCACCTATCTGAGACTCGCTGACCCATGTGTATCACCAGAGCCGCTCCGCAAAATCAGTCAAAGGAAGCCACACGGGTAAGCCCAAGAAAAGAATCCAGCGTGATTCTCATGGGTGTGACGACCTTGTGGCAACAGGTAGTGGTCCGTATTCTCGTCCAATAACTTACTTCAGCTTAATGGTAAACCTTGTCGAGGTGTTCGGTACATCACGTTTGTGGTACCAGAGCCGGTCCTGCCCAAGACCCCAACCGCATGTGGTCAGCATGGTCCAAGAACTGTGAACGAGTGAGTACATGAAAGTTCTGATGCAACTGCATCCAAGCGGTCACACACACACCATGGAATTTCACTTTGACAGCTGCGAAGGCCGGACGCATAGCCAGTGTCGGCCAGCAAAGAGTACAACGTGACATAAGGAGGGACTCCAACCCTGGAGTCCCTTGTGTGTCGGCCGATCCAGGAATCACTCAAAACCTTGCATCTCTATGTCCGGCTGCGATATTCACAACCAATGAGCTTCAAGTCTAAATGTGGAACCCCTGGTTGTGGGGGGGGGGGGGATCAGTGTTCCCTTTCGCTGGATGTTGAGTTCTCCTTCAGGCTGCCCGACTGTTTCTTCTGCTTGTTCTTAGTCTTCTTGAGCAGGCGTACCTGAATCAAGCAATGGGGTCATGTTACCACAAGAGGGCACTCCTCAGCCTTCAGCATGTCTATTCTGGATACACACTGAGATAAGGTGTTTTCCCAGTGTAAGAACTGTCTTCAGCAACCAGGCACTTCTATCGTGTTCCCACAGCACAAACTCTGATCGACTGTAGTTCCTCAGAGGTAGTTCTTGAACCTTTTTTAGTCCCTACTCTGGATTGATGAAGAACTACTAGGTGGGGCTTATAGCAATAAACTTTGCTGATTGGTTGATCACAAGCACCAGCACTAAGTTGGAAGTTACTTTGAAATGCAAGGAAAAGAGATAGTAGTAAAGAGATAGTAGAGTAAAAATTGAGGAGATGGAATTACTTTTGTATCGTAATTGCATTAAATGCAATAAATATTTATTGCTTGTGTCTCCATATTTCTCCATATTTTTTCATTTTTCTCCAACTGGTAACCAACATACTTCTGTTTAATGTTGCCAGTACCACCAGTGAAACTTCTAGTGCTTATTAGCAGAATAATGTAACGTCATTTTTTATTCTGTGGAAAACGAAAGATTGATCTACTGGCCAGATGGAATAATGAATTGCAAACATGTTGCCTAAAAATAAAAAAAAAAATTTTTTATCCCGTATATTCGGCTTTCATGATCAATGATCAATCCTCCCAATAACTAACGAAATGACTTGTTGTCCTCCATTGTTTTGGGGTGGTGGTGTAGTTTTGTATGAAATTACGTGTGAAATATAATCTACGAGCTTTTTGCGTATCCCATGCTTATGTAGCATAAAGGTCACATTTCCTATCGTGGAGTGGGAAATCAACACAAGTGCCCAGGAGCTACAAAAGTTCCCGGTCGAGACAGCCCAAGAGCTTTGCACCAGGAACTAGGTTCCTGAACTTAGGTGTGAAAGCACCTATATGCGCCTGATGAGGAACTGTGTATGAAGAACCTTGTGAGTTTCTTCCCACCCCTGGATATCAATCTGGTGTGTGAAAGCAGAAGACGATGTACCCTCTCCACATCATCACCACTGACCTTGGGCCCGGCTGCTGAGATGATGATTTGTCCTGGAGCCTGGATCCAGGGCTCCCCGTCCACCTGCACAGGGATGGGCTTGGTCACCGTGATGCGGATGTAGGTGCCTTGGGCAATGCGGATCCCGGAGCGAAGCCCACTCTGCACCTGACCCTGGAAGAGAATCGCACAAAAGAAGATTGAGTCACTGACGACATCATCATCGCACAGCTTCAGCAGAGAAATTTCACCCCCTATTGGTCACGTTGGAGACAAGCGGTGTCAGCACTCACCATGTGCACCACACCGTTCACGCCCACCACCTCCAGCATGCCGTCATCGTAGCTGGGTTTCTCGAAACGGGAGTCGCTGTCGGAGCCCCACAGGTCTGCACCAGAGCCCCAGCTGGATGGGGGAACACACAGAGACACGCGTGGGCTATGGCAACGGTTTTCAAACTTATTAGCGATGTGGGGAGGTATCTCCTTTAATGACGTCAGTCATAATGGTGTAACACAGAGAGCTTAATATTATCTCAGGTGGTATGTGGTGTAAAAAGTTTGAGAACCAGTGGGCTGGAGTCATCAGGGACATTAGCAATTGGGGAACAGGGAGGGCATGTCCCCCCCCAGTATCGGTGACCCCCCCCCAGGAGACTGCATGCTAAACAGTGTTAGTCTCATTTAAAATTATGGAATCTTAATTATTTTACAAATCTTTCTCACATCGCCTCTTTTCACGACTTGCATGTGTGCCCATTGCACCCCCTCCCTCCCCCTGCCACCGCCACCATTGGAGCAAATTCGGTCCCCCCCCCCCGATGTAAAACTCCATCTGAGTCACTCCTTTATTTGGACAGTGTGTATTTCACAGTACCAAGCATAAATCTGCATTAGAAATACCTTAATAAACAGACGTAAAAAAAATTATTTTTTTAAGAAGCTGTTAAAATGTCTAAAATCATAGCTGAGGATGCATATACACTGCTGTGAATATAAGTTCTGGCATCATCTGTTCATGAGGAGCACAAGACCCTGGCAATTGGGGCGACGCTGGGGAACATCAGAGCTCCCCACCTGGGGATGTTGAGGAAGATGAGGCCTTCAATGTTGGGCAGCTCCACGTCCTGCTTGTCCACCTGCAGCCTGATGTCCTTGTGGAAGTTGCGGGTGTGGCTCAGCTTCTGCAGGCCCACCTTCACGTAGACGCCCTTGTTGTGTAGCCTGCAGGCGAAGCATAAACATCCAAATGCGTGAATGCAGACAAATATATTCATTCTGTGTGGCTCTAGCTACAGACTGAGAAAAAGTTCGTACAATGATCACGGACTCCCATAGCTAACAAGCCGCTTTACGCACTTTATACCAGTGTTTTTTGGTCCAGTCGAGCTAGAAGGAAGCAAAACATGGACCATCTGGGGACCACGAGGACCGGATTGAGAAAAACTGCTTTAATGTTAAAGTGTTAATGCACCTTTATGCAATCCCACACTGCTCATGCACATCTTTTTACAACTGATATCCTTGCTGTCTATTACTATTACCCATTTTGCAATCATTTGATTTTTTAAATTTTATTGTTAAGTCTGTACTATTCTTTGCATCCGTGTTTCCTTTCACACACGAACAGACGCAGGTGGAAAAAGCATTTAACTACACGGAAGTACAGTGTATGATTGTATACACGATAAATAAAACTTGAAACATGTCTAGAATGCCCTGCTATGGGTAAATAAAATATGTCCGTGTAAATATTTGTGGCCACCCATGACAAATATTGTCCACACACATACTTTGCCAGCCCCATAACTACACATAACCCTTTTGTTATTGTAAAATAATAAAAAAAGAAACATTTTAAAAAGAATACCGTAATCTCAATTTGCCACGTGTGGCTTTTTTTTTCTAGTACATAACATCCGTACATAAGCTGAACAGGAAGTGTACATGCACAAGACAGGAAGTGACAACAAAACAGGACTCAATCCCTGCTACAGTAAAGTGTACGCATTAGACACATTTTTCTTCAGCATTTTGCATTTCTGCTTTTCACTACAGCTCCTATTCTTTTGACTCAGGTCTTGGTTGCGATTATCCTGGCTGTCTCTAGGTGGCGATGGCGCTTGAGAAGGCCAGTACCTGCTGTTAAACTTGCCGGGTTCCTCCTCACGGGCATGATGAAAGTCCAGGCTCAGCTCGGCGTCGATGCCCAGGCCACAGTAGTTGTTCATCTGCACAATCTGTAACAAAGGAGCCACAAATGATGTAGCCAGGCTTGATGGATCAGAGTCGACAAGTTGATTTGTGTGGCAGCTGGATGTAAAATGGTGCAGGCGCACACATGGACAAGGTGAAATGGTGCAGGCGCACACATGGACAAGGTGAAATGGTGCAGGCGCACACATGGACAAGNAAATGGTGCAGGCGCACACATGGACAAGGTGAAATGGTGCAGGCGCACACATGGACAAGGTGAAATGGTGCAGGCGCACACATGGACAAGCCCTTGCATGCCGGCCTGCTGCGTTCTTCCCCGGGGGGGGCTACCTTAGGGGGCTCCAAAATGCCGTTCCCCTTATCTTCATCGGACACCTCCTGCGCGTCCAGCAGGATGGTCCAGCGGTCCATCTGGACCTCCTCCGCCTCGTCCACGGCCACCAGGACACCATAAGGGTCCTCCCCACTGTAGCCAGCCCCCCAGCGGAGTACCCGCGACAGGTCATTTCCTGGAATGGGACGGGTGATGATTTAATTGAGCTTGTGACAACAACTAAGAGGACAGGTCGGTTTGACCTATAATTGATTTCCTTTTCGCTTTTAAAGTTGCTGTTTCTCGGAATGCAGATGATTCCCTGAAGAAAGGAAGTGCCCTTTAATCTGCTCGTAAAAGTGAAGTTGAATATAAGGTCACAAGACACAGAGGACTGGTGCACGCTTCCCACTTCTGGTACAACACCGGCACCGAGACTGGGGAGGCATGGCGAAAATAGTTCTGGAAACGTCTCCGGCGCACGTGGCTCACCTGTGCCCAGTGGGATGATGCCGATTGCAGGCTCTGGACAGGCCAGTCTGTGGCGCACCTCCTCCAGCACCCCCAGCACCCAACCCATTGTCCCGTCACCTCCACATACCAAGATCCGGAAGCGGGGAAGATCCCGAAAGGTGTGCAGCCTGGGAAACAAGGTGGGGGGGTTGATACCTTTCACTTGAACCTGCAAATTTCTCCGCAAGGTTCAAAACTAAGTACAACTGACCAGGAACTCAAAGTTCAAAGTGCCAGATATGAGAAGACACTGATTTATAATGCAGCACCAAAATCAACATTTTCCCCAAGTGGGGATACTCTGTGTGATCAAATCCTGACTCCTTCCATCTCTGTAACGCTTAGATGTGTCTTTGGGATCAGACACTTTCTCATAATTCATCAGAACATTCAAGAAAGAAATCTCCCAGGCCACCAATGATCTGGATGTCTCTTTAGTGGAACTCATAATAATGTCTGCTCTTTTTCACCATAAAAATAATCTTAAACTAGACTTCTAGTTGGGGGTATTTTATTGATTTAATGAAGCAGGACAGAGCATTATGGGTCTTACCCAGGAAGAGGTCCACCACTAGTCAGTTCAAACACCTGGTGTGGGTTAAGAAGTTTCCGGAAATTATACAATATCTCGCGTCCTTTCAATCCTCCGCTCTTGGGGTTGACGAAAACCAGGAGAGGACAGCACCCTTGTGGTAACTTCTCGTGCTGAAAAACATTGTACTTTAAACTCTTGTTTACGATATAGTCAGTCTCAAATAACCTTCATAACTTCATTGTACTGTGCAAAGCTTGTTCTTTACAGTAGGGGGCACCCCTGCACTTTTAAAAGCCTTAGACCAGACTCGCAATGAATCAGAAAGACGCATAGGTTGAAATATCATTAAGCGCAATTTGTAAACATCACACGATTAAAAACAGTTGTATCAAGCAACAAAAATGGCGTGCCTACCATAATCTCGGGAATCACCAGGGAGTAGAGCTGCTTGCCATTGATTGTGGTGTCTTTGGCCAGCATGTAGATCCTCTCCGCTTCAGAGAAACAGGTGATCTGCAGGACCACGACCCCTGGAACACATTGGAAATGCATTCATAGAGCACTCCCTCAGGTCTGTCAGTCACAAGTCACCCATGTGACCACTACTGACCAATGAGCTAAGGGTGTCCAGAAAACATTTATTAATGACCTGCAGCATGCATAATGTCTGCTTAACCAGCTAGTACAAAGGTCCTTTTAAATAACTTATGTAGCACTAATACGGATCAACCAATTGCTTCCCAGCTGTTAGCACTGGGGGGGCTTCTCCAATGTTAAGTGAACATTGACAGAATATGGGAAGTGTTCATTAAAAAGCTACTCAACGCTCAAGCTACGGATGCAGAGAGCCCTGTCCATCACAGTGCCGCATTGTGCATCTTAACAAGAGCCCCTTTTAGAGGACAGAGGATGTCGATTCCGCAGTACCGCAGGCGCTCTCAAATGCAGCGACAATGTTATTCTACAGAGCGACACGGCCCAAAACCAACCGGAACATCGGAGAACAATCGCGGCGGACTGCGAAAGAAAGCCGTTTGCCAGTGACATCACAGTTCAGCAAATCCTCTGGGCTCTTATGTCTCATGTTCAAGGTGAAAAGGTCAGGGATCACGCCTACTGTAGGAATGACGCACACTGCAAGGCAATCCATCTCCACGAATCAATGAAAATGAATACCTTTGTACGGTAGCCTGCTCACACCTTTGCACATCCACACTCTGACTTCAGTTACGTACATTTCTTTTTATCCTTTATTTGTTTGTATACTTGTTTCATATTTGTGGTATACTTGTATTCTTTACTTTATTTTGCATTGTATTGTATTCTTGCCTGTGACTCAGCACTATAGAAAATTGATGGATGGATAGATGCTTTTAACCTCTGCAGTTATGACTTGGCACAATAATTTCCCTTGGAATGAATGAAGTTATATTTTACTAATGTGGGCGTGTGCCGAGAAACTGCAATTACTATAAAAAAATATGTTCAAGGACCCACCTTGTTCAGAATAAACATGGGTGATAGCGACCAAGTGACCTGTGGATGGAAGACAAACGTAGCACTGGATCAGTTCACCTCCATCCTTGAATAGAACAATTACTTCACCAGACAACCTCAGCACCTTCACTCTGCCAACAGTATTAACAGAATTAAGCTACAAGCTGTAACACAGATCAAATGATTGGTTGGATCAGATAGTCCTTATCTTGCAAGAATCCCAACAGGTACCTTTAATGAGGTCTGTCCCTCACACTGACAAGCAGTCCTGCCGGTTTCAAAAGGGCCACTTCACCAAAAACTACTTTAATCTAGGCGTCACTGTAGGTTTCTCAATAGTCCCCTTAAATTTTGGTAGTGCGGACAAGCAAACATCTGTCCATTGTCCAACACAAGTTGAGCAACGCTGGTGTATGGTCCTAAAACCCCCAGATTGCTGACTGGTGTGACATTCAAAAATGTGTACAGCAGACAGACAGCCCTCAAGGGCAGCTGAGGTCTTTGTGTCACAGCACCTACGAGGAAACATCTATGCACTTGTGTATGCAGGTCACTGCTGCTGAGAACATGCATCTACACAGCCAAGTATACTCACTTTTGGTGGCCAGGTGCTCCCGTAATAGGTCTGCATAGTCCTCCCGGATGAGCTGTGTGGGAAAACCCCCTAGCAGCAGGTTCACCTGCACTACAGAGTTCCGGTGCTCCACGATGTAGAACCGTGTCTGGTTCATCTGCCTCAGGGACGTCTGTAATGAGCAATTGAGGATAGGATTAAGACATCAACCAACAGAGAGGGGCTGTAACATAGCAAATCACTGTGTTTCCACATACCTTCCTGATCTGTTGAACTTTATCAAGTAGGAGTTCCTGGCCAGTCAGAACTTGCCGTTGCACTGGAAGAAGGACAGACCAAGCAATCAAAAGAACCTCGAGCTTGGGTGAAGATGACAGCCGGACCGTAATGTGACAAGCAGATCGGTTTATGAATATCTCAGCTCTGTCGCTGAAGAACGACTCTGAAGCCGCATCTGTTATGCACTCCGCACACCAACGCCACATGGTGGTATCGGGCTGTATACCTTCTGCCGTACACCTGGCAGATCGGGGTGGGTCATGACACAGCATGTTCCTTACATGAAGAGGTGATCTCTGAGATCACTCTGGTAGGACCCTCTCTGCCGGGCACTGAGAGGTGAGAGGAGAGGGCCAGAGCTTTTACCTTGTTTACTTCCCATGAACACCTCCACCAGGTTGAATCCAGCAGGGTTTTCATTCTGTGGGACATGGAATCGATTGAGCACCACCCACGACTCCCACTTCACACAGTCCTCATATCATTTTGTCTCATTGTGCATATCTTCCCTATTTTTTTGTTTTCATGACAGGTTTTCACATTGTCTCCATCGCATGCAAACTCGGTGCCGCATAATGGAACAAAACATGACATCACCTCGGGCTGCTCTCCGCCTTCAATCACAAAGAGTATCTAGAAGGGCAGCAATGCATGAATAGACAAACTAAGCCCAAACTTCCCAAGGACATGGGTTGTTACCTGCTTGCCCAGTTGGGTCAGGACCTCTTGGATGACGGCGTCCACAGTGCTGCTCTTGGACAAGGTGATTGAGATGTAGGCCACACCCACCCTGTTGAAGGATTGGCACTAACGTTGAAATACGGTGAAATGATTTCGCACCAGTAACATAACACACTGCGACACTGAAGCAGAGTTCCAATGGATGCCAAAGAAAGCCTCCTTGAGGAAGCCAAGGCCCTGTCCATAGATTATCATAGCAATCTCACAGCTTTAAATTTCAATAGGTTCTGGTTCACCAGCTAATGTTACCTTATATGGGCCAACAGCAGATAGTGTATCGATAGTGCTTTCCCGGTGCATTGTGGGGTAATCAGAATGTATTGTACCATCTGTCAACCTGCTATTTGTCATCAGGGACGATACTAAATCGTAAAATAACAATAAGATCGAAAGTATAATGTTTGGAAAGTAGGAAGTGAAACTAGGCTTTAGCAGAGATGCTGTTCTTGTACGATGTCACTAAGGTGTGATTTTGGCTTCGGTTTTCAGACCCACAAAGCAGCTGAGTATGACGGGCGGTCCTTGGTGGTGGTACTCACTTTAGCCAACCCGCGTAGATTTTCAGCACGTCCGTCTCTTTAGGCTTGGCCCTCAAGACCCAAGCCTCTGGGACGCAGTCCTTGAAGACGGACTTGTTGTCGGGAGTGCCGTTGCGGTTGATGATGTCATCGCTGACCAGGGCCTGCTGGCCATACACCTGGAGCTCGTAGTCCTGCGGCTCCTCCGGAATGTAGAATGCGCGCAGAGTAGCGTCCTGCAGGTGAGGAGGGGGCGCGTGAACATGGAAATAAAGAAATCAGGTCTCCCGTTCCTGTAAACATCCCCGGAGATCCATGGGCATCCCTGACTGGGCTCTCTGCGTGCCATCTGGGCAAAGCCAGCCTCACTCACCACCACCTCCTCGTTTTTGGTGATGCGGGGGATGCTGACCAGGCGATACTGGTTGCGTTTGAGGGCATCGTCACCGTCAAACACCTTCAGCGACTGTTTCCCTGAGAATGATGGGAAGGGACATGGCTTTCAAGAAACACGGCAAGGAGACACTCAGCTAATCGACTAAAAAGCTTGATTGCCACCTAATCTTTCCAACAAGCACGGAGTGAGCTCACGATCATACACGGTGGCCTGTCTCTAAGATCGCTACCTGAATCCGGCGATGAGGATGACTGGTTCTCCTTACTGGCCACTAGCAAACTTGGGGTATCGACATCGTCAGTGCAATCTGCAAGCAGGAAGTTAAAGATGAGATCATTTACCCCTCAGACAAATCCTCAGGAACAAGCCAAAACAACCGTTATAGTCCTGATCTGTTCAGGAAGCTTTAGGGTGACAAGCAAAGAAGGACATTCTCCCATAACAAGTAACATCTCATTATTGTACATAACCCACTGTAGTTATTGTATTGTTTTGTAGATATTCTGTGTTTGCCAGCATTCCTTGCCCTGACATGCATTCCTCCACTTTTAATACATTTATCAACCACACCTGCGTATTGCATATACCAATGCCACTGTACATAACCATTGTCTCGTCTTAACTGCGTATCAGCTGAATGTACGACAGCCATTGACAACCAGACACAAATTCCCAATGTGTGTGAATACTTAGCCAATAAACCTGATTTAGATGAGATTTAAAGCATTCACTCAGGAACCCAGTCCTCTTGGCCCTACAAAATACAGCGTCCTTCGTCCACCTTCACACAACTTGGTATTATTACAAAGAACAGGAGCACAATGGCAGTTACAGCACCCAAAGGTTCAGGAGCTGGTTATGGGCTGAGATGCTTGAATGGTCCTTCACACCCAGACGAAGGATTCATCGGTGAGTAACACATCACATGCAGGTTCGGGCCAAACCAAACATCCCAAAGCTTCACACGCCTACGCAGAAATACAAACCCAGTTCAAGCTTTAACTCACGGAGACCCCGAAGGGTTACAGCGAGTCTCAAACAGAACGAAAGTGGCTCTCTCTCATTACATCACTGCACTGAAGCACCCTACGTGATGCACGGCGAGGGGGGCGGGGAGGGCGGGGCTGATGGGCAGCCGGTTTCCTGGCATTACCCAGCTCGGCCTGAGGGCTTTCGGAGATTCGGAAGCAGTGCAGCTTGCTGAAGTTGCGTGAGCAGATGCGCACGCAGCTGGGGTGCAGGATCATGTTGTGCAGACGACCCAGGCTGCAGTCGGGGGGCAGGACCACGTAGCAGGATGCATGTGCCTGGGGTGGGGGGGGGGAGGCCAAAAGAAAGCCTGTCACAAATGGTTTTGGTGGCCCTTCTCCCAGCCACTGCAGGTGAACAAGAATAATACCTTCCCCGCCCCCCCGCTAAGCACACATTCACACGGGAGGTGCTTTCACTTCCCGGTACAACGACGAAGACCTCAAGCACAAACAAAAGGAACCGGGCATTTCCATCAAAGCAGAGGAGACCTAAAATTAAAAGGTACACATTTCCTAATTTCAACTCGAGCCCTTCAGTTGCTCCAGATCGAAAGTTCTTCCTTTCTAGTCCACCAAACTTGAGCATGAAAAACCAAAGGCGTCTTAGACATGGGGGAGACCTTGGTCTCCCTTAAATGGTTGTCGACCACGCAAAGCAGTGGGGGACGGGACAGAGGTGGGAAGGGACGAGCAGCCTGGCGTTTGAGGAATAGCAGAGATGAGGTGGAGGTTGCTATCCTAGACGGGGACACTGATACCGCCCAGCTTCAGCGGAATACTCAAAGGCTCCTTGTTTCCGCTACATAATGGCTTCTTGTCTGCGCTCAGAGAACACACCGGTAAAATGCTGAGCTCAATGACCTCCTCCAGCTCGGCCTCCATCGTTTGTTTATTCAGTGTCACTTTCTTTGACAACAAAAGAGGAAAGATCCGGGCCTGTTTGACAGCGAGTGCAGTGCCACGCGAAAGCAAATCATCCCCTGATCCCAGCCAATGGCTGCTCAGCTCAAAGGAATCTTTACGATCCTCGTTCATGGAAAGGAATTGGATCTCAGAGACGCGGTTTGTGGAAAAGCATTCTGAGGGCAGGAAGCGAGACAGATCAAACTGAAACAGCCTCATTGATGCCCCCCCCCAGCAAGAGGCTAACCCCAAGGTCACCGTCATACCGTGATCCCACACCACTCGCAGCGCACGCCCACCAGGACGTCTGATGAGCCGCAGGTCCGTCGACACACCTCACACCGTGCCCCCGACGATAGGTTCCCCTCCCGCCAGTGATGCTGGTATATGTCCTGCAGGGGGATTCAGGAAGAAGGGCATTAGGAGTCGGGAAATCCCGGAGCTAACAGACTTGCCGGAACAACAAGCACAGTGTGCAAATCGAAAAGCAGCCTGATAGCGACGTTTGCCATGAAAAAATGGAAACCTGCAGAAAGCCAGGGGGCACTTTTGCATAATTGGTTCCGTAAGTAGAAGGATTCATTCACACCTCGAAACCACCAAGCGATTAAAAACACCTCAGGGCCAATAAGTACCAGTTCCATATCTGGTTAGTGATTCGCATTTCTCAACAATCATGGTTGTTGTCCAGTGACTCATATTAACAAGGAAGGACATTTACATTTATTTAGCTGAGCCTTTGGGCCAAATTGTCATACAGGAGAATATCAGAGAGCAGGATCAGCCACTCTGGAGAGATTGGGGTTAAGGATCTTGCTCAAGGTCCCAACAGTGACATCACTCTGCCGGCCACTGGATTTGAATTGACGACCTTCTGATGACGGGCACATAGTCCTGAACCGCAGAGTCACACACTGCCCACGTTTACTGAAATGGGAGTAGGTATGGAGTGGAAGAACGGCCACTCACATAGTCCTGAACCGCAGTCACACACTGCCCACGTTTACTGAAATGGGAGTAGGTATGGAGTGGAAGAACGGCCACTCACATAGTCCT